TGTCTAAAATGTTTATTTTGGAATAAAGAGGTTAATATAAAAAATATTTTTTGTCCGATTCATCGATTAATCGAAAAAATAATCGGCCGATTCATCGATTAATCGAAAAAATAATCGGCCGATTCATCGATTTTTAAAATAATCGTTAGTTGCAGCCCTAGTTTAAATCCCTCCGTTCGTCCCCCATACTGCTCTGTTGTCCCCCTTTATCTTCTCTGTGAGCGACACTTGGCTCGACCAATGGGTTGAGGGGATTCTGGATCAGTAGATATAGATGTTGTCAGCTCATTGGTCACAACGCAGGACAGGGCCCGGGAACAAGTTTACCGTAAGTTTTGTATCTAACGAGCCCTTGATCTTCATTTTCCATTAGCTTTTAGCTGACTGTTTTTTTTTACTCACAGTAATACGGGACAAATTGTGTTCCTTTTCCACTGAATAAGGGACAGGTAGTTTTATTTCTAAATATGGAACGATTCCATTTTTCAAGTGACTGTTGGCAACCCTAAATACACAATATATATGTAAATGCAAAAATGTTCAAAGGAACCTCTCCCTGCCCGAAAAAGACAAAAGAATAAAAGAAAAATGAAGTAGTGCCTAACCGAAATAATGGAACGATCAGAACCCAAACCGTCCCCGCCTTTAGTTACCAGAGTCTGCCTTTGGCATTATCCACCCTGATATCTTCCAGAGAATCTCACCATCTCAACCAGCAGAAATTCTTGCTGAACTTCAGTCCTAAAGGAGAACAGAGAAATCCGACAGTTGATCCACAGAGCTGTGCTGGATCCTCCTCATCTCTTCTGTTTTCTTTCCTCTCAGACCAGCAGAACTTCAACGTCTCCGTGGAGAACATGCTGACCCGCTGCCTGGACAACGAGCGCAGCTGGCGTCTCCATAGCGACCGGAGAGACCAGGAAGTGCTGCCGCTGCTGATAGAGGACAGCCTGCCGCTGCTGACGGAGAGAAAAACCGACACGCTGGTTTTCCCGTGCATCCTCAGCGCTCTGCAGTGGATCACCCAGGGCAGAGATCCGGTTCTGACTGACCCGGCCCAGACGGCGCTTCCTGTTAAACCCAGCATCTCTGCCAGAGCCGCTCCTCTGCGGGACGCTGCTGAGATCCACGTCCTGGTAACCGGGAGCCTGCACCTGGTGGGAGGAGTCCTCAAACACCTGGACCCGGAGTCGGCCAAGTAAACCGTCTGGACTGGGAGGACTGGGATGACCACTGGGAATAATGGTGGGGTTTATTTTCAAGGTGTCCAGGTTCTGAAGGTCCTCACACCAAACAGACAGTTAGCTGTCAGGAGTGAAAGGAGCGTCAGAGAAGATTGGATCATGTTCTCTGAAGCTCCTCCCCCTTCTCCAGTTGCTGTAAAGCTGATCTGTGATTGGCTGCTGAGCATCATGGAGTCACTACTCATTAAATCCATGATGCTTTTTTTCAATATCTGAGGTAAATTATCCAAACTTTTTTTGTCTGAACCCAAAGGAAACGAGATCAGAACCAGCAGTGACCCATTCCACTTTTACAGCTGATGCGGGGGGGTCAGTTCTGCACTTTTTTTTTTTTTTTTTTTTATCACCCACCAATCAGATCATTGAATTATCCTGAGCTCCAGAAGTTTGGTGCATCGGGACCGTGGTTCCGTTCGGACCGAGCCTCACCCACAGCCTTACAGATGAGCGTGCACGCACGTTTTTCCTCTTACTTGAAGCCGAATGTGTTTACATAATCCGTCTCTTCAGGATCGGTCGCCGGTCCAGAACCCTGGAACCGGTAGAAACTGGATCTCTGCCTTCATCATCTCAGCTCGTTCTCAGTGTGGATCTATTTCCTTGTATCAGTCCTGTGGAGAAGATGTCATCATAAGTGTTACCAGAGGATCTCCGATCCGTTTCACTTCAGCCTTAATTTATATGATTATACTGACACCTGCAGCTGGGGAGAGGTACTGCAGCATTGAATTCAGCTTAAACTTCTTCTTTTTTTTTGTTTCAGTAAAGCCCACTGCATCGGATGCACTTAAACTTTGTGATTAAAAGCAGAACTGTTCCCTTAAATTATTTAAATAAAATATTTCAGGCTTATTTATCTCAATTAGATGTGGTTAACAATAAGCTTTTCTAATTAACTACACACTTTAACAGATGTGTAAAAACTGATGTATTAATTCCATGAATTATCTGTTAAGTCCCAAACTAATGTATTTCCCTCATCAGTGGAGTCGCTGAGGGTTGAAACGTTTTTGCCTCAATAATAAATGTAAAAGATGCTGAAATGAAGATGGTGCCAATAAATATTGTTTAAAAAAAAGTCTCTGATTTATTTTTTCTTCCTGCAGGAATCCATGCTTCTCCAACTGGAAAATAAAGCAAGTTTTAAAAGTTTGCAGGAGCACAGACCCTTAA